ATATCAGTATATCTGCCCCTCTACCCACAAATTAAACCTGATAAAATCTTTCTGTGTATGTTTCCCCAATTCAAATATGTATGTTGGATCCATTGTCACAGTTGGTCATTCTAAACTAACCCTGGTTCTGAGGATACCTCCTACTTTAAAGCCCAAGAGCCAAAATCTATCTGGCCACATTTTTGGCTCTTTAGGGGTTGCAGTGGGTACTCCAGGCCCATAATTGCCTGTCATCATGCAGCCTCCACCACTCTTGGAAGCTTTATCTCATAGTCTCCTTCCATCTTAATGGAAATCTTTGATTATTTTTTAAATTAAGCCCACCTTAGTGGCTTTGGAGGTACTTTTAAAGTTGCAATGCAGCATGTCCAGAGAGTCTCTTGAAACAGGCCATTACCATCCAAAGAACCAACCATGTGTCTGCAGGCCATGAGTTAAGGGAGTAGAAGATCAAAAGAAGTAGAGGATCCCTTTTTTATCTTGGTGGATGTTACTCGCTGGCATAGTCTATATATAAAACAATCAGGTACTGATACATTAATGAGATTGAAAGTAGTTGTATAACATACCATACTGGTGTACCGTCTAAAGTATTTTTAAAAAGAGAGACATCAGTGTCTGCTAGTGGAGTTTGGAGATGCTTGATAGAAAAATGGAGTGTCTCTTTGGCCTTAAAGTATAGGAAGGATGCAGATAAGCCTAGAAGATAGAAGGGACCTCTTGGTGGGGGTGGGGTGTTAAGGGGGAAATACCAGCATAAGAAAGGAGATAGCTAAAGTTTGCTAGGGGTAACAGCTCACAGGGCAGAGGGCAGACCTTGACCCAGGACGGAACCCAGCAAAGAGCTGCGGATTGCCTTTTGATGAGACGGTTCTGCCTTTCAGAGAGCTGACCTGGCCGTCTCTGCCATCACCATCACCCCGGAGCGGGAGAGCGTTGTGGACTTCAGCAAGCGGTACATGGACTATTCAGTGGGGATCCTCATCAAGAAGCCCGAGGAGAAAATCAGCATCTTCTCTCTTTTTGCTCCATTTGATTTTGCTGTTTGGGCCTGCATTGCGGCAGCCATCCCTGTGGTCGGTGTGCTGATATTTGTGTTGAACCGGATACAGGCCGTCAGGACTCAGAATGCTGCCCAGCCCCGGCCCACCGCGTCGGCCACCTTGCACAGTGCCATCTGGATCGTCTATGGTGCCTTCGTACAGCAAGGTACCTTCCTGGTTTCCTGATGCCGGGACAGCCCTAGGGGCCTGGGAGAGCTTATCCACTAGCAAAGTGCTTAGGTGCATGTTGCCAGAGTCATTCATTGTCAATGCAATTTTATGTAACCTCTAGGACAGTGCTAATATTATGCTTCACCGAATTTCTCTGAGTAGCGTCAGATAGAAATTCAATGAAATGATAACAAGGAACTTGACTTCAAATCCTGCTTTCCACTTTAGATAAAATTAACTTTGAAGTTCTGCTTTGCACTTTCCTCCCCTCCCACGTTAGATGGATTGCTGTGCACATGGGGCTGTCAAATGAAACTGGATCTTGTTTAAATTTGAAGTCTTAATGGGAAAAAAAATGACAATTGTTTCTCAATCATCTAAGCAGTACTTGAGCCATTCTTGAGATGTGAAGTTTCCTATCTGAGAAGTGCGGATAGTGCTTGGGGAGTTACAGGATTGTGGAATTTGACCAGAAACAACAAATTGAAACTTCCTAAAATGAGTTTTGGCCCACTTAGCACCATGGCAAAACATGTATCACTTGCTTGCAAGGTTATATAAAAATAGTCAGTGAGAAGCTTTTTCTGCTACCATGAAAGGGACCA